CGTATAACACCATGAAAACAGTACTGTATGAGCAGTAATGCCCGATTTCGTTGGTTTTGTAAATTACTGTTATAGCAGTAGTGACAAATTACATAAAAATTGAAAAAAATTAAAATTACTGCTATAGCAGTAACTGTCCGTGAACGTGTTAAAAAAAAATAGGAACCTACTGATTGAAAAAATCACTGGATTGATGTAACGCCCAATATCGATCGTATTTGAAATAACAATATAATATTATATTGATTCGTTCATATTAGGGAATCTGCCGGTGTAATGGGCTCCCAAATATTTTTAATTTGACGATAATAATATGTTTGAAGTCTAAAATAAACGATATTTAAATTCAATGTTTTATATATAAAATTGAAAACCCCATTGTATTCTAAACGTTGAAAACCATACGAAATGTAGTATTTATCTAAGCATAATATGGAAAATAGCAATTTATATTTTAGTATAAAGAAACAAATATTTACTTGATAAAATTAACACATTGACCATAATAGGTAATATGTTATCAAGATTTATCTTATTTTAATACGGCCATTGGATCATAGATCTTTGATAATTCCATGTGCGTCCGCTTGTGTCAAATGGTCGCTTACAGAGAACGACATGTCGCATACATCGCACGCGTACGGTTGAACCGGTCAGCCCACCGAGGTCTCTAGACCGTTTGAGACGGTCTGCTCCAAGCTAACTTCTTTGCAGGCCCGTATTCAGAGCAGGGCAAGAGGGCATGGGCCAGGGGCGCAATTCTAAAACTTCTGAGAGGGGCGCAAATTTCAATACTATACTCATGTAATATTTTTCACGTAATATTTGAAAAAGGTATATTTATTTTAATAACTTTTAGGATGGACAGAGCATATGAATTATATGTATTTATATTTTATACGTATGATTTAGTATGAGATTTAGTAGATTTAGTATAAGATTTAGTTTTGTCTGAGGATTCTAAACTTAATAATGATACAAAGATAGGTGCTAAACATTTATTATACCAAGTAAATTTAAAATTTTTATGTTTACTTAATCTATGGGTGATTTTTTTATCGTGAACCAGTTAATATCTCGGGAAGTATTAGTAATTTTAAAATAATTTTTTTTTTAAACTTTCTAGGTTTTACTATTTTACACTGTGTTACAATTTTGAAAATTTTAACTTCCTCCCTTATTTGATAAAACACTATCAACTTTCGATTTTCAAATGGCAATACCTATTTTCGATAACGAAAATCTATAAACATACTGAAAAAAAAAATTTTAACGTTTACAGAACTTAATTTGAGTAAGCCGTTTACGACTTATTAATGCTGAAATATTCGTTAAATTTACTGCTACTGGGCAATTTAACAACCCAACTGTAAAAACCAGAAGTCAAAACGAAATTTTATCTCAATTTAACAATACCCATAACGGTAATAATCAATAATAACAAGATAGATAAACAATACTATAAGAAAAAAAAAAGTGTTCCATCATCACTCCCACCAGAATACCGAGTGTCAGTGAACGAGTGAACGACTATTATAGCCATCCGCGGCCTGCAGCAGCTAGGCTTTATCGGCTATAAAGTATAAAAACATTTTAAATTTATCATAATGGTTACATAATAGAGCACTGGTTACTGATCCCTGGTATACTGTCTTATCACGTATTTGTAGATAAACGTTCATAAATGCCGGTAAACTGTTTCTGAAAACATGTGGTTATTGAGTTTCCCATTATCAAATATTAAATATCAATTTTTAATTAATTATTATTCTTTGAACGTTAAACCACAGAATACGCTTTAAGTAAATTCTTAATTATGTGTATTATTTAAAATATAAATTTAAAGTTTAGGTAAGCCAATTATTCCAATGCATACCTATTATATTTTTTGATAGTGTTTTAATGTTGTATTTTGGTTAACAAATTTGTATTTAATTAAAAATATACTTCTACCCAATCAGAAATATTATTATGTATATGGGAATCAGATTTCATACTTAGCCGACAACTTAATTTGTATAATTTATTGGTAAGTTCAATCTAAAATTAATATATTAGAATTTTATTTTTTTATTAAATGATTTATACATACATATTATTGACAAATAATAACCAGGGTTAAAATATTTTAATTTTATTTCAGTTGGCAATTAGTAGAGTTTACATAATTCATCAAAAAATACAGTGAACTATATGACTAGACAACTAAATTTGCTTAGAAAATTAATGCAAATTCATATTGCTTTCTACTGGTACCTATCTGATGACTATAAATTAATATGGAATAAAGGAATACAATATACATACATATTTCTATATTATATTATAATCTTTCAACAAACTAAACAATCAATTATGTAAGTATGAATTGTTTTTTAATAAATAATAACCAGGGTTAAAATATTTTAATTTTATTTCAGTGGTAATTAGTAGAGTTTATATAATTAATTAAAAAATACAGTGAACTATATGACTAGACAGGTCAATTTGACCAGCAATTAATGCAAATTTACATTGCTTGCTACTGGTACCTATCTGATGACTATAAATTAATATGGAACAAAAGAATAAAATATCCATATTTTTTTTTACATATTATACTTATTTTAATCTTTATACAAACTAAGCAATTTATTATGTAAGTATGAATTTTTATATAAAATAAATAATTTGATGTTTATCATAATTTTTGCTTATTTTTTAGATAATTAATTTTGTTTTCTTTTAAATTTCAATTGCAATTAGTAGTACTAACTTTTAATTCAAATAACTATAACAAGATTGGATGAACAAATACAAAATATTATTTTGGTTAGTTACAGCATAGTACAACTCACCTGATAACTTAATAAGTATGAATAAATAATTATTTTTTTCTATAGAATAAATCATTTCTATAAATAATTTAATGTTTTTTTTTTTAGTTGCATTCAGATTAAAAAAAACAGTGCAGAATCAAAACCAAAAACTACTTCTACATTTATAAAATTTATTGATGGTCACATTAACAGTTAATTGTATGTTTAAATAATTAGGTTAAGTTATTGATTTACTAATTTCCATAATTAGGGCTATGGAGTTTTTATTAAACTGAATTGGTAAATTGGACATTTTTTTTTATATGATACCTAGTGTCATTTTTATGCAATATTGAAAGATTTTTATATCATAAAATTGTAATTAAAAAATAACATAATTTCAAAAATAAGTGTAAAAGTGAATAATTTTTTAAGACATCCATAGCCCTAAAAATATGCTGTAATCTAGAGTACCTAGATAATATAAAGTATGTTCAATGTTCGTTTAATTTTTATTAATTTATCTAGGGTAGTGGACATGTTAAGTGTTAATATTTTTTATTAGTTATGACCTTACCCAAATACTGCAAAAATTTGCACTACGAAAATTTGTTTATACTCTAGTAAAATTATTGATAACTAATGTGTTTATTGCCATTGATAATTTAGTATTGAATTAATGTCCATTATTTGGTCTATTCACACACAAGATAGTTTGATATAAAATGCAAATTATACATTATACAAAAATCCCAGAATACCTAATATTTATAAATGGAGAGTCAGGTAGGCACTATGAACAACGAGTTCTCGGCCTATAGCCCCACATCAGATTGACAATACAGGACTCAATTCCTTGATTCCTTGATTTACTAGTTATAACACATCAATCTGATATAAAAATATAAATTATATTAAATAAATACTTCTGTATTATGTATAATTAACAAATAATAAACTTAAATAAATTATACTACATATTATCATAATATCATCTATTTATTCCATATTTGATAATGGGAAACTAACATTAACGATTAACCAATAACCACAATATGTTTTCAGAAACAGTTTACCGGCATTTATTATCGTTTATACGTGATAAGACCGTATACAAGGGATCAGTAACCAGCAGAGGCGTGCTGAATAGTAATTTTTTGAGGAAATTGCTTCAGGGAAAATTCGGGTAGGTGGGTGGGTGTGTTAGTAATTAGTATAGATGTGCAACTTATACCTAAAAAAACTTAATAATATTAATTATTTTGAATAAAAAAAAAAAAGTGAAAAAACTGTTGGTGGTGGGGCCCCTGATCAAATTGTTTGCCTCAGGTCTGCTTGTCAGTTCGGCAAGCCACTGGTAACCAGTGCTATATTATGTAACCATGATGGTAAATTTATAAAATACGGTTTGAGCATGACAAAATAGATATGTATGTCAGCAACTTTTTGATACGCATCGGGTTCGTCGACCACTCCACACCCCTTTGATAAGCTGGTTCGCCAAATGAAATGAGACAAAGTACGACTATGGCTGAGAACTGAGAAGGGTGGGATGCGCTAACCGGACTGCGTCTCGTATTGTTGCTGACATAGGTACCTATGTCCTATCTATTTATTTTGTCATGTTATTCCATAGATAATAAAGATATTATCAATGTGTTATTCAGTATTCACTATTTCACTGGACAATCGGATGTGTTCGGCTGGGAGGGGTGATAAGATATTAAGGTCCAATTCGTGTGACCTTTGTACTATTGTACTTATTAGTTATTACTTATTATCGTTTATAACCGATTATTATCGATTATTATGGGTATTGTTAAATTGAGATAAAATTTCGTTTTGACTTCTGGTTTTTACAGTTGGGTTGTTAAATTGCCCAGTAGCAGTAAATTTAACGAATATTTCAGCATTAATAAGTCGTAAACGGCTTACTCAAATTAAATTCTGTAAACGTTAAAATTTTTTTTTTCAGTATGTTTATAGATTTTCGTTATCGAAAATAGGTATTGCCATTTGAAAATCGAAAGTTGATAGTGTTTTATCAAATAAGGGAGGAAGTTAAAATTTTCAAAATTGTAACACAGTGTAAAATAGTAAAACCTAGAAAGTTTAAAAAAAAATTATTTTAAAATTACTAATACTTCCCGAGATATTAACTGGTTCACGATAAAAAAATCACCCTGTATAGTTTTAAACCAGATGGACTACGTCAATATTGCATTGCAAACTAAAAACCAAACCATAGATGTAGCTGTTAAAATGTTGAACGGTTTAATAAAATCAATTCAAGAAATACGGGAAAATGGTTTTCAAAAATGTCTGAGTGAGGCAAAAGATATGGCCAAATCCTTAAATATTACTTCTAAATTTACCAACAAACGTACCTCTGTTGAATCAAAAGACACAGAAAATAAATTTAGAGCTCAATGTTATGAAGCATTAGATTCTATTCTATCCAGTTTATGTTGGAGGTTTGAAAAAATGTCGCAAATCGCATCTGATTTTAATTTTTTGTCTGGTAACTTATTATCAACTATGGAGTCTGAAAAAATAAAACTCTGGGTTAATGATTTGGCATTGAAGTATGATCGAGATTTAAACGCTGCAGAGTTGTATTCTGAAATTGAGAATTTCAAATATCAGGCTCCATTATTAATGACAAAATTTGAGAATGCAACTCAGTTAGATATTCTAAAGCATATTCATCAGTACTCTTTAAAAGATTTATATCCGAATTTAGAGGTAGCACTACGGATATTTTTAACAATTCCTGTCACTACGGCTTCTTGTGAAAGGAGTTTCAGCAAGCTGAAAATCATAAAAAATTATCTAAGATCAACAATAAGTCAAAATCGTCTCACCGGAATGGCTATATTATCTATAGAAAAAGATATAGTGAGGACAATTTTATTTGATGATGTCATTGATCAATTGCTTCAATTAAATCAAGAAAAGTACCTTTGTAATATTGTGTAAAAATTATATAAAAATAAATTAAAAATTATTAAACACAATAGTTGTATGTTATTAGTTATTATTACTTGATATATAGGTACTATGTGTTTTTACATGTTTTATATATCTCGAATGTTTTTATAAACTAATGTATATTTTTGATTTGGAGGAGGGGGAGGGGGCGCAAATGCAGTGATTCGCCAGGGGCGCCACCAAACCGCAATACAGCCCTGCTTCTTTGATAATTATTTATTTTGTCGGGAATTCTCTGGACGTCTGTTTTTAGACAATTAAAAACCAAGCGAGAAATGTTCAATCTTCTCTGATCATTATTCACCATTATATCTTATGATGACCGTCAGGGAAGGTCACTCGGGAAACGGTCTATAGCCCGTTTCGAACCGTCTGTGTCAAGTCAATACCACATTTTTTCCAATCAGGGGAATTTCATCGACGAGCGAATTCTCTTGTAGGACGCTGGACGAGTCATTAACGTGACATTTCATTTTTCAAAAGAAAGGTGGACTTGGACGCGGATTACTGTTACGCAGGTACATTGAATATTTTTTAAATCATACATCAAAATCTTACAGACCGTCAATGACGGTCGTTCGAATGGAAGTAAAGGATTAACTCGGGAAAAATCGTTCGATTCGAACCACGTCTTCGGGCTTGACCTTCTCCCGTTCCGGGCCGTCCGATGACCATGTTTTCGCGTGCAATATCAAAATCACGGATTTTGGATGTTAGACTTTTTGGAGTTTTGTCGACGGAATACGACAGTGAAGGACGAGAGATAGTCAAGCCAGAAGTCGGCGCTCAGATAGGATGAATACTGGCCGTCACCCCGGGAAACTTTTTTTTTTCTTGTATAACCACTACATGAGGGTCGTACTGTTTGCACATTGCTTAGCCCTCATGCAGCATCGTTTATTTAAGAAAATATTTACATATTTGAGATTGGGCTCGCATGGGGATTGGTACACTTTCCTCAGTGAGTACTGGTGTGTATGTGTGTACCAAGACCCCATGATGCTTCACAGTGATATATACAGTGGCCGAAACCGCAATGGGAATAACCGGGACGGACCCCGCTTTATCCCCTCGCATGTCCATTACTTTTAAATTTTTGCCTTGAGGTGTCTTCTCGGGCTGGCCTGAGCCCGCCGCCCTAGACATCTCGTGCGTGATATCCTCTTCAAGACCGACAATCTGGGATTCCCTGGGATCACAACGGGAAACTGACCTAATCTAACCGGGCAGTACTCCCGTCACCGTCCCTATCGGTTTCCGCGGTGAAAGCGATGAACTTCAAAGGGGCCCTCGCCCGGTACTTCGGTCGGTCGGTAAAGAGAAAATGGGATTACGCGTTTTCTGATTTCGGTTTTAAAGATCTTTTTTCTACGGTTTCCGTATGCACATAACCCGGGGAGTTCAAGCCCGAAGACGGGGTTCGAATCGAATGTTTTTTACCGCGTGAATAACCCCTACTTCCCTTCGACTGACCGTTCTCAACGGTCTGTACGATTGCGATGTCCGACTTTCGTTCTGTTGAAACGATCGATTTTAAAATTAAACAGTTGAAAGATGTCGACAATAGAAACGCAAATGACGTCTTGTGCCGAAGCTCTGCGATAATTATTTAAAAAGTTATAGAAGTAAAAAGTGCAGCCCGTCTATTTTATAGAAAATGTGGAAAATTTTGCTACCCGAATCGCCGCCGTCAGTCGCAGCGCTAGTGTCGCGGTGTATGCGGTACACTGTCCCTATAATATTTCTTTTTTTCTTACGCGATCGCAACTCGTGAGTACCTGGAAAATCTCATTTGAACTTCGACGATCTCCCCCATACGCAGATTTTTCGATCTGCCACCGATGGACACTTTCAAGAATTTTTTTTTTAAGCGGTCGCGGGCTCGTGTATCCGGTGTCAATTTCTTTTTCTTTTTTTTAAATTATATTTTCCAAATGGTGTTGGATCTGGGAATGTCATTCCGTTGGTGAGCATCAGTATTCTTGTGCAATATTCGAAAATTTTGTTACCCGAATCGCCGCCGTCGATCGCAGCGCTAGTGTCGCGGTGTATTCGGTGCACTGTCCCTATCGCATTTCTTTTTTTCTTACGCGATCGCAACTCGTGAGTACCTGGAAAATCTCATTTGAACTTCGACGATCTCCCCCATACGCAGATTTTTCGATCTGCCACCGATGGGCACTTTCAAGAATTTTTTTTTTAAGCGGTCGCGGGCTCGTGTATCCGGTGTCAATTTCTTTTTCTTTTTTTTAAATTATATTTTCCAAATGGTGTTGGATCTGGGAATGTCATCCCGTCGGATAGTAGTGGTGTTCTAGAGCAATATTCGAAAATTTTGTTACCCGAATCGCCGCCGTTGATCGCAGGACTAGTGTAGCGGTGTATTCGATACACTGTCCCTATCGCATTTCTTATTTTCTTACGCGATCGTAACTCGTGAGTACCTGTAAAATCTTATTTGAACTTCGACGATCATCCCCCATACGTAGTTTTTTCGATCTGCCACCGATGGGCACTTTCACGAATTTTTTTTTTTAAGCGGTCGCGGGGCGAGTGAATCCGGTGTCAAATTGTCTTATTATTTTTTAAATTTTTTTTTTCAAATGGTGTTGGATCTGGGAATGTCATGCCGTTTTTCAGTAGCGGTTTTTCTAGAGCAATATTCCAAAATTTTGCTACCCGAATTGTGGCCGTCAGTCGCAGCGCTAGTGTCGCGGTGTATTCGGTACACTGTCCCTATCATATTTCTTTTTTTCTTACGCGATCGCAACTCGTGAGTACCTGGCAAATCTCATTTGAACTTTGACGATCTCCCCCATGCGCAGATTTTTCGATCTGCCACCGATGGGCACTTTCACGAATTTTTTTTTAAACGGTCGCGGGCGCGTGTATCCACGGTGTCAAATTGTTTTATTTTTTTTTTTAATTATATTTGCCAAATAGTGGGAGATCAGGGAATGTCATCATCCCGTCGGTCGTCAAATGCGGTGTTCTATACTCTGTTCCATCTAAGAGTGAACCACTCGGCTGACCAAAACATGTTTTTTCCAAGCATTCCCACCACAATCCGGACATCGGTGGGAGCCTTGACACGGGCGCCCGACGTCCGACGATGGCCGGCGATCACTGTCCGCCAATCACAAAAAGCATAGCCATCGCATGAGGGGTTGGCACTGTTCGGCGGCTCAGTCTGCGTGCGCGAAAGCGGTTCACTCTTAGATGGAACAGAGTATAGAGTAATAATTTCACTCAAACCCGTTGTACCCTTAATTTTAGATTATGAGCGGAGCAAGAAAGCTAGTGGTTCTACGATTAAGTTTTTTTTTTTTATCCTGTTAACTAAATTTCTACCAGGAGGAGTGTTTCGATGTCAACATACAGTATATCTTATCTTTTATGAAACTGGATAAAGATGATACTCTAGAAAGGTAATTTTTCGATTTTCTCAACAGTTATTTAATTCCAAAACCAACCAAACAAAATTGAAAAATCACCAACAAGTTACGAAAAACAGCTAAAAACGGGATTTTAATTTCTAACTCTATGTCTATCACCATATAGAAACTAATAAAAATAAAAATATTGATTTTAGTTATTTTGTTATATTTTATAATATTATTAATTCAACTTACAGGCTAAAATAAATTATAATAACAATTTGAAATATCTAAATACCGACAAACCGTCTCCGCTCAGAATCGTTTTTGGTATACAATGATAATATTACCTATATCATTGAATTCAAATTCAATACAATCCAATTTACAGTGATCCATTTGTAACCTACTGTACAGCAGAGCGACATCCACTTAGACTTTTTTTTAGTTTTTTTTTCTATTAAATTTGTCAATAGTTTTTTTTTCGTTCAGTCGAAATGTTCGAAAATGTAATATACAAGGTTCTTCGTGAGCTGTTGTATTAGCAATTGAAAATGTTAAGGATAACATATTAAGTAGTCATGAATTCGTAGTTTAAAATGTATAAAATTATCAATTTGTATAGCTATTCATTGGGTCTTTTCGTTGAAACTTTTTACAGAACATGTGTGGGTAACTGAACCTCGGAGATTGAGATATAATTTCGGCTGAGCCACCCGGGAAACATATTTTGACATTATTTTTAGAAAGTTTTCATTAAAATATTATAATGCTCCTCGTAGTCTGGTTACGGCGTTATACGCCGACATTCATCCAATTTTTCATCGAACGATTTGCTTGTATTCCTGTAATAATTATTCATTGACGAATAACAGTAAATAATTGACATTTTCAAATGCTTATCTTATCATTTTCTATAGATGAACCTACTTGGATGATAATATTTTGTTCTACTTGTTCAACTTCAGTTTTAGATACTGGGAGGGTTGCCAAAACCCGTAACAAATAGTTTATATTTGGGTAAAAAGTCGAATCACACAAGTCTAAAATAGCCATAATATCTGTAGGGGTTTCTTAATTATTTTTCCACTTTTCACATCAAAGTAAATAATCACTTGCTGTATTTTTTTCACTTATTTTATCTTCAAAATAAATGGTGAGATTTTTTAGTTTTTCGACGTTTTTTTCTAAAGCGAATTTTAGTAATAATATTTCTATTGACGATAAAATATCATTATTCTGTTCAAACCTATTTTCGACCAGTAAATGATTTTTTGGTTTAAAAAAATTGTCAAGTGCTCCTCTCTTAATATTTGATTATTTAAAAACAAAAAACGAAACAGAAACGATCACAGAAATAAAATGAAATAAAATTGATCGTAGGTACGTTTATATGAAAGTAGACAAACATCGACTGACAACAGACGAGTATGGTATATTGGTATAATATTATATTTTGGCATTTTGCAGCTTTAAATTGTATACGAGGTACGATTAGTATAACAATAAAAGATAAAATTTACGATCTAGTCAGATGATAAAGGACAATCATGATTATAACAATGCTTATCGTATCATTATCAATAGATGAACCTACCTGGATGATAATAT